TTCATGAATTGACCATCTTCTGATGTATTCACTCTGTCAGATGACTTTAAATTTACGTTGAATAGCACAAAAATTAGAAGAGTCCTATCAGGATATTTTGTTATCTTTAGTCAGTTGCTAACAAATAATCCATATGTTTTTCATTTTTCTGTGGCTCACCCACTTTATCTTGTTATTTGAATTTATAAGGAAGCCTTATTGTAAGCTTCATATTATGTAGCATAACCCACCACAAACATCTATTACAATTTGATAAAAATCTTAATATTTTAATCTTTTCAGGTGCTCTTGTGTACATGTGTGTTGAAATACGCTTTTCTGGTCTTTAAGATACTTTTCTTTTTATAATTAATAAAGAGCAGTAATTTAAGTTTTTTAAGCTATTTAGGTATCATTCCAATACTGTCATCCTTTGAGTACAAACACCATTTGTTTTTAACACAGGCAATCACAAATTCAAGTTGAGCTTCCAGAGCTTGAACCTGAAGGTGATGACTGGATTTACCCTTTTACTGTACAGTTCCCAGAAGGACAAGATATTTTTGTTTCATCAGATGGCACAAATAAGAAGCTAATTTGTCATATCAGCTTCAGATCATCTACGCCAGTGTCATTTTCAGGGAGTATATTCTTCATTGATGAAGAAGAAAACAGGTAATGTGTGCTATTCAATTTCACTTCGGGGCAGGGCCTAAACTGATAAAGTTAAATCTAAGACACAGAACTAATAATGGTTGGGTAAAGGCATACAAGAATGGTTCTGAAAAAAACAAAACCAAACCAAATCAAACCACATTTATTTTTTTCAACTGAATTACAATTGAAAGCACAAAATTCAGCTTTGGTCTCTAAGGTAATATTCATCTAAGTGACCATCTTAAGGTCTTGTATCTCATTCATATATAATGGTAATTCTTATGTCTGTTTCAGTCTTCTTAGATGGCTTTGGAGAGACATGGTCTTGATTCAGCAAATCCCAGTATTTTCTGTTAAAAAATATTTTGCTTTTTGAAAAATACCCTGTCGTGGTTTATACAGTTGCTCTATCACCCAGTGCCTCCTCCCTACCCAGTGAGGGTGGTCAGCAAAAGAAAAGGAGATTTGTGGGTAGAAATAGAAGTCTATTAAATAAATAATAATAACAACAATAACAACAACAACAGCTAGTATTAATAACAGTTATAATATAAGATACACCGAGTTATACTCCGCCAATATTGTGGGAGATTAGGCCTCAGGGGTAGGATGGTAAATAAGTCCTTTTCGAAATGTCCCTTTCGAGGAAAGAAGACAGCTGTCCCCAGCAAACTCCCCGATTTATAGTGAATTTGACACTTATGGTATGGAATAATTATTAATTGGTCAGCCTGGGTCATCTGCTCTGGCTTTTGCTCCCTCCAACCTCTGCATTTGTTTGTCTCAAGACTTTGAGCATTATGGCAACCTGCATACCAGCATTAGCTGAAAAGCTATAGCAAAGTTTTTTTACTTTTGTTCCCTTGAAATAGTGTTGTAGTCCTTACAAAATTGCAGTTTTCCTCAACAGAAAACTGACTCTAAAGTTCGGTCCCAGTAAACCAGGACATACCCTATTAAAATTCTACAGTCCATTCCATGCTGGATTTCAAGGTGGTCTGATTTTTGGGTTGAGCCAGATGAGTTTCATGTTTTTTTAAACAATGAATTGTTTGTGACTGGTTTAGAGTCTCTTTTCTGGCTTTATCCTAATGGCATCTGGAAGAGCTAGTGCTTCTTATTACCTACTGGCAAATCTTTACAAAGTTGCAGTGAAGTGATCATGCAAAGGATTACTTCTTTACAGTCCTCTCAGAAGCTTCAGGTAGAAGAAGACACATCTCTGAGGAACTGTCTCTAAGTAAGAGATTCTGGTTATTTTATAGACTATCTGTACAATGCGGAAGTGTGCAAGAGGAGTTCTTTTTATTTATTTTTTAATTATTATTTTGTTTAATTTGAAAATGTTTGTGGTTTATTCATGTGATTCATTATTCATACATGTGGTTTATTCATTCCTTGAGCCTCTGAGCTTCAGAGTAAAGGTAGGGAGACTTCTCAAGGGGAAATTGCACTGGAAGTCAGAATTTCATTTTGCTAGGAACTAGCAAAGAACATGTCCCAGTCTTACTTTAAAGGTACATATATACATACATACACACACACACACACAAACGTATAAATATGTGTGGGGGTTTTTCGTGTTGTGTTGTAGTTTTTTTGTTACATTGGTTGTTTTATTTTTGTTGTTGTAGGTTGTTTTTTTTTTCTTTTTTGTGTCTGTCTTATGCTAGGAATTCATACAAGTGCATTAGGCATACGTTTCAGCTTCAGACCATACTTCCTGTATAAAAAGTATATGGGATACTCTGTATTCTCAAATACTTCTGATATATGGGACACAGGACTGAGTAAAGCAAAGTATGGAAAAATGTTGTTGTCTTCTCCCTCCCTCTGTTCTGGGCTCTTGAGTGTTTTCTGTGCTGTCTTAGAAGGACTTTGTGGACAGCAACATCAGCAGAAGCAGGCACTGCCCCTGAGAGAAGGGATAAGGGACAGATGTGCTTTACTTTGCTATTCATTTATATAGTTCCTAAAATGCAGTCCTGTGTACTACGTGAGAAAGTGCTTGAAATTTTTGAAAGTACTGAGATTATTTGGGAATATAAACTCTGCATCTGAAAAATACTTAGGAATTTATGTGGTCTAATTCCTTGTTAGAGCTAAGTTCCTCTAGGATAGAACACATAGAGTTCAATAGCAATTTATATGCAGTGTTCACACCAAAACCCATCTCTTTAAAACACTGTTTAGTGATAAAGACATATGCAAATACGAAATTCATATATCTTGTTTTGATTTTAAAGTAGTGGATTGTTTTTTAAGGAACTTTATGCATAAGGAACTTTGAAAAGCAATGCAGAAGGTCTCCCCTGTGCCTAGTAAATGGCGATCAAATCTTTTATTTAATGTTTTGTACAAAAATAACTGTTTTCAGCTTTTGTCCCTTTAGTTCATCTTTCCACTTGGTGGGAGAAATTAGTGTATGAATGAGGAGGAAAGATAGGTACTGTTGTAATTTAAAGTCACTCCTGCAGTTACTATTTTCAGTAAAGCAACTATTTTAAGGGTTAAATATCTCCACCCTACAGCCTAGAATGGGCTTTTTCCTAAGCATAACACTACATTTTATATTATTTTGATGCAAGGATTACAAACCTTTCAGTTATTGCTGCTGGATATTGGATTAGTATTTTGTATTTTTCTGTATAGATTGTCAGCCAAGAATCTATTTCGCATTCCTCTTATTTAATTCTAATATTTAATCATTGTGTGGGATATGATTCATAAATGTGTGCTAAAGTTTGCAGTAATTATGAGAAAAGGATAATTTAGGCTTATGATGAGGTCTGAAATATAGCTGCTGAGCAGGCACAATATTTTGTTTTAATAACTGTTTTTATATGATGCACTAGCAGCTTCTCAAACCTTGTTAGTGAGAAATAATCCTTTCTGCTGGGTAATAAAGTTTTTTCTATATTTTCCATTAAAATGAAATAAAAGATACCATCCTCAATTTAAAGGCAAACTCAATGTGTTTTTGAAAAAAAAACTATACCAAATAAAAATCATCAGAGTAACCTTAAAGGCATCCCTGCTCATGAAGGTGAAAGATTTCATGCTCAGGATTGTCAAATAATCTTAAAATAGCTGCTGTGTTTTAAAAAATAGTAGATGGGTATTTGTTAAAGGGCAGAATTAATAACATTGGTTTGCCAATGCATTTCCTGTCAGGGCAGCTGCATGTGTGTGTGGGCTGTAGGGGCAGATGATATAAAAGCTGAACACAACTGGGTGAAATACCACACCATCTAAAACAAAGGGATTCTGTGTGTGCTGTTAGGCAGTGAAGTGATATTATTTATATTGGCTTTTGGAAGAAATTCTTTTTATCATGACCAGAAAGAATTCTTTCCTTCAATGGGAAAAGTCTAATTAAGTGGCTGGTTGTCTAATCCTGAGCTTATTGTAGAATCACAGAATCGTTTCGGTTGGAAAAGACCTTTGAGGTCGAGTCCAACCATTTACACAGCACTGCCAAGTCCACCACTGGTCCATGTCTCTAAGCGCCATGTTATTATTCTCATAAAGTCTATGATAATTTATCCAGACTTGGGTTTCATTACTACTGGTAATATTACCATGTGCTTTAATATTCCTCTCTATTTATCTGTAGCTGCAATTTCTTTTTTTCTACATATCTGCCTCATTCTTCGCAGCCCCCTGCCATGGGAGGCCTATAGAATGCATTCAAACTTCAACTCATTATCTAAGCATTTCATCATTTGTTTCAAACTGTTTAACTAATGAATTTAAACTGCTTTGTTAATTTTGAGTCTTTTAGGAAGACAAGTTTTTGGGGCCTTTTAGTTCTTCAATAATAAAATGGTGAAACTTACAACCTTTTATAACACCTATAAAAGCTAACTGGTCTTGAATAGGTTCCTGGTTTGTTTAATAGGCCATGAAATCTCACAGTATCAGTTGCTGAAGACGTATTAATTTGTCAGGTACTCTCTCTTTATATTTCCATTTTTCAAAGAAATAATATGTATTTATAAATGATTTGCACTAAAATTTTGAACTTAAACTCATATTCTGCATTCTGGGATGGTATTAAAATAAGCGAGTAAAACGTTTTTTTCATATGTTGGTAGAATATCGTGTCCTGTATTTAGCTACTTAGAAGATGAACCTTAACTTCTAAGCAAAAGTAATTCAGGCATATTTCAAAGCATGAGTAATAATGAGACAAATACTCTGTTTTGGTCATTTTTTACTTTGGCTCTGCAGTGTTTTGCTTTTCTAAATTTAGATCTAAAACTTCAGTAGGATTGATTGGGATAGTCCATATTAAGTCCATTTAAATAGTAATTGTTTTTTTTCTCTAAATCAGAGTGAACACTGGGTAGAGGATAGATGTTGAATTTGGCTACTTTACAGAAAACATTTGAAAGATGATAGGCAATCATGTTTTATAGCAAAACCATGCTATATGTAGCTGTAAAAGAAAACTGAAGAGATATATCATTGTCATTTATGCAAGTAATTTACTGTGTGCACAAATTCCATTGAGTGGTTCATAAGAAAGTACATTAATACTTATTTAATGGCTGCCTTAAATGAGTATTTGCAGTTCATTTCTACTGTTATTTTTAATCTTTATTCTCCCTTTTTGCTCCTTTAACTCCAGAGTAGGATAAATGACATTTCCTTCCACAAGGCTGATAGGAATACAGAATTAAAAGATAACAAAAAATCCAAGAATGTCTTGAGCAAGTATTTAATAAATGGAAAGAAAGATATTAGCTATGACACTTATTTTCTTCAACTTGAAAAACTAAACCAAAGAAAGCCTCTGTGAATGTGGCATATTTATATATTTGTCCTTCAGTTGTTATTATATCTTTTAATTTGCTGATTAGATAAATTTTTTAGCAGGAGAGAACGTTTTCTACTATCCTGACTGAAATGATGTTTGACTTATTTTATCTAAAAACTAAATAGTATCTAACAGTTCTGTATTGTATCGTATAATCAAAGGAAATGGTGCTGTGGGCAGCAGAACATCCAAAAAA